CCCAAGGGATCCAATGCCTTCCTTCTGGCCTCTGTGAACACCTGTATTCACATGTACACCCCCCACACATATCAATAAAAGGTAATAAAGAAATATTTTAAGGCAATTGTCCCTTCTGCCTGGATTAATACATTCTAGATTGATTTTATTTTGTTGTTAAATGATATTTCACTCTAGCCTAGAAAAGAATTGGGGATTTTTCTATGTACCTTCCAGGGTTCAGGAGGATAAAGAACCTAAAAGCCAGCAGGATGGGTCCCCAGGGATTTCCTATATGCAGACAGTCTCTTATCAGTCCCGCAAACAGGATTAACATACCTGATACATACACAGAGGGACACATGTTTTTAGTTTTTAATTATAAATACAGCAGCTATGAAAATGTATAAAATTTTCACTGGATATTTTTCTTTCTCTTGGATAAATACCTATGAATGGCATAACTTTAATATTTTATTTTTGATTTACTTTTCTTTTATTTTATGTGTATGAGTTTATGTCTGCAGGTATGTAAGTGCACCACATCATGCAGTACCCATGGAGGACAGAAGAGGGCATCAGATCCCCCAGAACCAGAATTATGGATGGTTGTTAGCCACTATGTGGGTGCTGGGATTTGAATCTGGGTTCTTCTGTAAGAGTAGCCAATGTTCTTAAACTGCTGAGCCATCTCTCCAGCCCCAGAACAGTATAACTTTATAAGACACTTCCAAACTGCTTTATGTGGTGACTGGGCCATTCCCAACAGCAACAAAAGATAGTTCCTATTGCTTTGAAACCTTGACAGGACTAGATGTCAGTTTCTTTTCAGTCATTACATAATTCATGGATTTTTGTTATAGGCTGGGCTGTAAAATAAGCTTTCATGGTCAGGCGTGATGGCTCATGCCTTTAATCTCAGCGTTGGGAAGCAAAGGCAGGAGGATCTCAGAGATTGAGGCCAGCTTGGTCTACACAGCGAGTTCCAGGCCAGCTGAGGCTACAGGGAGACCCTGTCTCAATAAGATTTTAAAAAAAGAAAAAAGGAAAAAAATTAGCCTCTCTGCTATTTCAGTGTACTTGGCTGTGTTCTTTCAAATTCACATTTACCTGAACCTCGCATTGTGATGGTATTTGGAACTAGTCTCTTTGCATATGCGATTAAGTCTACATGAAATGTACTATATTAAAGTGGATCTTACTTCTAATGGCTTCTGTTCCAGAAATAAACCATATGAAACCTCAGAGTTACTCAGGAGAACACTGTGTGATGGTGGAGGCAAAGAATGGAGCTGTGCTGCAAAGTCCAGTAACACCAGCAGCCCGGGGAAGCTGGATGATGAAAGAATTCTTTTTCAGAGATTCTGCAGGGAGCATGGCCCTGCAGGAGATCTACCCTTCATAAATTTGATTTTCTCTTTATAAAGTTCAAATTGGCCTTGAATAATAATAATAATAGTAATCCTCTTTTTCCCATTTTCTTTAGTGAGGGGAGGGCAGGTGCTACAGTGCATGCATAGAGGTCAGAGGTTAACTTTCAGGAGTTGGTTCTCCCCTTCCGCTATATGGGTTTCCATAATCAAACTCAGCACACCTCACTTGGGATAAGTCCCCTTACCTGAGCCATCCTGCTGGTCCCTGGCCTGGAATTCTCAACTCTCCCACCTCAGTCTCCCAAGTTCTAGGATAACAGTTTCATGTCAACAGACCTGACTTTTGCCAACATCTTAATTTCATACTTCTAGACTCCAAATCTGTGAGAGCATGAATTTCTGTTCTGTAACCCTTCTAGGTTATAGTCACTGTACAGCAGCCCTAGAAAATGAATAAGCTATGAAAACAATTTATATAATACATACCACAAAGAAGTTCATAAGGTTACAGTTGACCTGCATAAAGTTGATGATAAAATCATGACAGTAGCTCACATGAAA